TCTTACTTGCAGGTTGTTATCCTCTTAAGGGCTCTGATAAAGTGTGTTTTCCTTGCAAATACTTTTAATATGATTTGAAAAACACAAAGGAAGTATATATTTATACATCTGAGACTTTTAATACAAATATGTATTTGTTTTTCACATCAAAATATGGTAACCACTAGGATTGGTGAAACACAATTGTAACTTTACTGATCAGGTGATTGAAACAGAGTCACATATTCAAAGACATCCTGGGCAGCCTATTTCTTACCTTTAAAGACTTTTTTAAAAAGCTAAACATGTGATCCTAGTGTTGAGTACTTCCTAGCATGAACCATGTTCTAAATTAAGTCTCCTACAGTGCCCACAGAAAAAATGAAACAAAGAATGACAGAGAGACAGAGAGAGAGACACCGAGAGAGAGAGAGAGAGAGAGAGAGAGAGAGAGAGAGAGAGAGAGAGAGAGAGAAGAAAAAAGAGAAAAAATTAACATATTGTACCTCATGCATATGTTTAACTGGCATTTTTTTTAACATTTCATTTTTAATGTGCATTTTTTTATTATTATTTTTAAAATGTTAATCAAAGGCTATATAAGTTTGATAATGCTCAATAACAAGATGCCCATGTAAGCAGAAGTGTAACCCAATACTCAACCTAGCTATACCAACTATCTTTGACTGGTGGAGACACAGGAACATCTGCCTCCATGTTCCCCCTCCCCCCCCCACTCCCTCCCTGTCTCTCGTCTCCTAGATCCTCCTCCTCTCCTTACTCCTCCTCTTGCTCTCCTTACTCCTCCCACCTTAGCTCCTCCTACATATCACCCTTCCTATTAATATAAAACTTTTCTCTCAAAATACAATTAGAGCATAACTATATCAATTAGTATCAGTAAGATACAAGATAGACCTAATACCCAGTCCATCATTTTGTTGACTAGCCAGAACATCTGTCATCGCTCCTAACTAAAAGACTTAGGCCTGAACCTGGCTTTTTTCTTGGCTTTAGAATGAATGTCAGCTGAAAATCTTCCTCTCAAGTTTTTTCTCTCAAAGTAAATAGCCAGGATTGGCTATGAGACTATAAGTCTTAAACCCCAACAGAAATCCAGAATGATTGAATTGACTGGAATTATGAGAAGCACAAAGCATAGCTTCTAAAATTTAGCCAATTTACAAAGACCGCTGAACACCGGGACAGTCCCTATACTACAAAATGTTGGAGCATCCGATCTTGAGCCTTCTGGCCCAGGATCATCTGACAAACCTAATGATGTAGAGTTATTAAGGGTTGATTACTCTGTCTTGGCAGATATAATCAGTAGACTATTTCACAAGTGTATCCTTTTCAGGACAGTAATTTGTCTGTAGAGGAAAAGAAGCAATTCTTGCCTAGTGGCTGTCTCACCACAACTGGAGTAACTCCAAAGATGCTCAATTTCTTCTTAGAATCCAAGACAGGAAGCTGTCAGGAACAGACAGGTCTCTAATCAAAATGGACCTTAATGTAGAACTGTTTATAGGGTCAATTCTGTAGACTTCTGACGTTTTGAAAACCAACTATCCATGTAAGGCAATCTGGACTGTTGTCTGTTAACTCCTCTCAGCTATTTCTAAAAAATACAGAAAACACCCTAACAATAAACTCAGAACCATGAATTTGCTACAGGCCCTTAACTCACAGGCTAACCATCTCAAATCAGTTAAAAAAGTTAAAGAAGGACTTGGCCTAAGCCTTGTATTCCCAAATGTGTTATATAAACACAATGCCTATGAGAGTAACACTATTAATCTCACTTCTATATCAATAAGAAACTCATACCAATGAAAACCTTAAATTTGAAATCATAGTAAATTTTGTACCATTTAAGAAATTATAACTTCAGCTTAATAACAATTATACAGATTTCTACCAATATGTTATGGCTATGTAATAAATCTTAGCTATTCCTCTCTGTTCTGACAAAACCACTACTTTTCCCTAGAAAGACAGTCCAATAATAACCACTTCAGTCCCCAAGCCCAGGGAATAGGGGTGCTGACTCTTCATTAACTTCTTCAATATGATTACAGGCATTGAGATATTAGAAGAGGGGTGGGGGGAAGAGTAAATTGATAAGCCTCTGATGTCTGTGTCTTCACTGCATTCAGCTGAGATTCCAGGACATCAGACGTTTGAGCAGGCCTGCTCAGCTTGCTTGATGAGTAGCTACACCAAGGCTGTGTATTCTGCAATATACAATTCTCAAAACAAATTTCAGTATCAAGGTATTTTTTGTTTTAATTCTGGAATCTAGTCTTCTGGTGGCCTGTCTCTATTCTATCTAATCCATATAATTCTGGGAGTTTCTATGAGGGTGTGCTCCCACCATCCTCCCATTCCCGCCTCCCTGCTCTCAAATTCCCCATCACTAGGGAGTCCAAACTATTGGGTGCCAAGGACTTCCACTTCCACTGATGCCTGACAAGGCCACCCTCAACAACCTATACAGGTGGAGTCATGAGTCCCTCCTTTTTTGTTCTCAGGCTGGAGGTTTTAGAATGGCTACTCCAGCTTGTTTCTTAGGACCATTTGCTTGAAAAATTGTTTTCCAACCTTCTACTCTAAGTTAGTGTCTGCTTTTGTCACTGAGGTGGGTTTCCTGTATGCAGCAAAATGTGGGGTCCTGTTTACATATCCAGTCCATTACCCTATGTCTTTTTATTGGGGGAATTGAGTCCATTGGTGTTAAGAGATATTAAGGAACAGTGATTGTTGCTTCCTGTTATTTTTGTTATTAGAGGAGAAATTATCTTTGTGTGGCTATCTTCTTTCGTATTTGTTGGAAGAGGATTACTTTCTTGCTCTGTCTAGGATATAATTTCCCTCCTTGTATTGGAGCTTTCCCTCTAATATCCTTTGTAATGAAGAGTTTGTGGAAAGATATTGTGTAAATTTGGTTTTGTCATGGAATATCTTGGTTTGGTAATTGACAGTGTTGCTAGGTATAGTAGCCTGGGCTGGCATTTGTGTTCTCTTAGGGTCTGTATGATGTCAGTCTAGGATCTTCTGGCTTTTGTAGTTTCTGTTGAGAAGTCTGGTGCAATCTTATAGGTCTGCCTGTATATGTCACTTGGCCTTTTTCCCTTACTGCTTTTAATATTCTTTCTTTGTTTTGTGCTTTTGGTGTTTTGATTATTATGTAACAGAAGGTATTTCTTTTCTGGTCTAGTCTGTTTGGCGTTCTGTAGGCTTCTTGTATGCTTATGGGCTTCTAATTCTTTAGGTTAGGGAAGTTTTCTTCTATAATTTTGTTGAAGATATTTATTGACCCTTTAAGTTGGGAATCTTCACTCTCATCTATACCTATTAGCCATAGGCTTGGTCTTCTCATTGTGTCCTGGACGTCCTGAATGTTTTGTGTTAAAAAGTTTTTGCATTTTGCATTTTCTTTGACAGTTGTGTCAATATTTTCTGTGGTATCTTCTGCACCTGAGATTGTCTCTTCCATCTCTTGTATTCTGTTGGTGATACTTGCTTCTATGACTCCTGATTTTTTTTCCTAGGTTTTTTATCTCCAGGGTAGTCTCCCTTTGTGATTTCTTTATTGTTTCTACTTCCATTTGTATGTCCTGGATGGCTTTGTTCAATTCCTTCACCTGTTTGATTGTGTTCTCTTGTAATTCTTTTAGAGATTTTTATGCTTCCTCTTTAAGGGCTTCTTCCTGTTTACCTGTGTTCTCCTCTAATTCTTTGAGAGTGTTATTTATGTCCTTCTTAAAGTCCTCTATTATCATCATTAGAAGTGATTTTAAATCTTAATCTTGCTTTCCTGGTGATATGGGGAATTCAGGACTTTCTAGTGTGGGAGAACTAGGTTCTAATGATGCCAAGTACTCTGGGTTGCTGAAGCTTATGTTCTTGTGCTTGCCTTTCATCATCTGGAGCACCTTAGTGCTACCTGTCCTGTCTCATACTAGAGCCTGTCTTTCCTATTATCTTGATTGTTTCAGAACTGTGTGGGGTGGGTGTTACTACTGGAGTTAGAGCTGGGGCCCAAGATCTGCTCAGTGCTCAAGCCAAGACCAAAAGAAACCAGTGCTCGGGGCCAGGAGTGAACCCTGGGTCCTACTGAGTCCCAGTTACTCCCTGTTTGGGGTGGATGTTGCTGCCTCCTTACCTAAAATGCTGCCCAGGTTAGAGCTCCTGTCAGGCCCGCTTCCTCTGGGTTTTGTGATTTTTGGTACAGTGCAGCCACCTGGGATCTGCTCATAACAGGCATTTTTAAAAGCTAACAATCTCTTCATTTGCTTTCTTTGAAGTAAGTAAATTTGATATCATGCCACTGGTTAAAAACAACTGTGTTTGAATTAAACATTTATATTCAATTTTTACATGGTATATGTATTTTAAAATATTGTACTCATAAGTATATACAATGTAAGATATTAAAAACACACAAGTTGATAATTGACTGTGTAAAGTAATAGAAATAATGTTTTCTAATGTAAGGCTTTGACTTACAGAAAGAATCTAAAATGACAGTGGCGTTAAGTGATTCAGAGTTTAACCCTTCCCCCTATTGATGACCCCTTATGACTTAACTATGTTTCCACTGGTTAGTCTCTCTTTATTTTGGGACCTTGAGAAATCTCAGCTCACTGAATGTACATACCCCACAGGTGTTTTAGAGGACTTCACACTTTTTCTTAATTGTATGTTTTCCTGCTGAGAATCAGGATTCCCAGATCCCAAGTGAGAGATCCCTGAGTCCTTAGAGATTCACAGTGACTCTGTGATGGGGACATAATCTAGGGCTAAGTAGGTGCAAAGCAGATTATCCTTCCAGGAACTGAGGGAGTGTTTAGATACTGGTGGGTCTGTATCAGGACAAAACAATGCTTTATAAAGTTGATCTGCATGGAACAGACAGACCCATGTTTTATCAGTTTATCATGATGTGCTATCTGGATCGATTAGCCCAAGATTTTCAACTGAAGAGATTTCTGGGTTTATCATTTATCAATGTTAGCATGAAATTATTCATTGCTTCCTCTCTCTGGATTGTTCTCACTGTATTCCAGGAACACATTTTTTGTTTCTCCTTAAATTTACCTGCTTCTCCTGGCTACTATCAAGACGGGGATTTTGTTATTGGAGGACTCTTTTCCTTTACAGTGTCTGGTGGAATAAATGGAAGTAAATTTGAATTTACAGATATAAACCTTATTCCGGCTTATGCTCACTTGTAAGTGTTTGGCTTCTCTCCTTAAAAATATTAATTTGGGATTTTATACATGTATAGAATGTATATTGATGAAAACTACCTCTATTGATTCCCATCCAATGTTTCCTGTCTTCAACTTGATGGAATCTCTTTCTCTGTCTCTCTCTGTCTCTTCTGTGTGTATGTCTCTCTGTCTTTCTCTCAATTTCTCTATCAATCTCTCTCTGTCTCTGTCACTCTCTGTCTCTCTGTCTCTCTCTGTCTTTCTGTCCCCTGCCCTTTCTCAGGTTTTCATTTAGGCATGCCAGTACTATAAGAGTATAGGACATCGTCTTGAGTATAGGCAAGCTAGTAAGGCAAACCTCCTAAGGACACTGACTCTCCCTTCCCCAGTAGCCTCCAAGTGCCAATAGCTACTCAGCCATGACTGAGTCTCTGTTTGTCTCTCCCCTACTCATGCCAAATTCTCTTAAATATGTAAGAAGGCTTTGAAAATAATTTTCAGTTAAAGTGATTTTTCTTTGTTTTCATTACATATATTATACTGAGAACATTATAACATTTTCCTGCTTTAATTGACTTGACACTTTTTTCTCAATTGCCATAGTTGATCAAGCACTGTGTATTTTCTCAAGGTTTATCCTGTATTTGGAGACCACATGAAATACGAAGTTTCAATGTTTGCTATTTCCCACATGCTTTACTCCTCAATTATACTTTCTCAGACACAAGCTCCACAGTAAAAAGGTAGAACTGTAAATTTAGTAGTATATGATAGTGCAAACCTTTAATTCCAGAGCTTTAGAAGCAGATGCAGGAGGATCACTGTTAGCCTGAGGTTAACTGTGTCTGAATAGTGAGTTTAAATACATCCTGGGCTGTATAAGCAAAACTTTGTATAAGCAAAAATTCAGAGATCCCACCAATTCCTAGCTATTGGCACTTGGTGGATACTGGGTAATGGAGAGTCAGTTTCCTTAGGAGGTTTGCCCTAGTAGCTTGCCTATACTCAAGATGATGTCCTATACTCTAACAGTACTGGCATGCCTAAATGAAAATGTGTGTGTGTGTGTGTGTGTGTGTGTGTGAGAGAGAGAGAGAGAGAGAGAGAGAGAGAGAGAGAGAGAGAGAGAGAAAGAGAGAGAGAGAGAGACAGAGAGACAGAGAGACAGAGAGAAATAGAGACAGAGAGAGACACAGAGAGGAAACAGAAAGACGTTATTTTGATTTTATAAGAAAAAAAATCAAAAAGCAATAATTTTGAAATTGAGAATAAGTTGTACTATGAATCTTCTTTTAAAAGACTAATTCCTCTACATGTCTAATACAGAATATCTTGCTTGTTTCTTGGATTATTGCTATATTCTTTATATGACCGAGATAGTTACAAATAACAATCCAGAATTTGAGAGAGGCCATGGGAGGAGCTGCAGGGACAAAAGAGAGGAAAGTAAATGAAGTAATTACATTTTAATTAAAAATTAATTTTAATTGATTAAAAAGAACCAACAAAAATTGTCTTTCCAATTTTTTCCTCCTAGCTATCTTACCAAACATTATCAGCAAATGCTGGCAATGGTTTTTGCTATAGAAAAACTCAACAAGGACCCAAAGATTCTATTCAATATGTCCCTGGGATTCTATCTCTTCAATGTTGACTTTCTTGAGATGAAGGCTGTGGAGAGTTCTATGGCTTTGCTCTCAGGAGAGAGCCCCCCAATTCCTAACTACACCTGCAGGCCTGAGAAGACTGATAAGCTGGTTGCTGTGATAGGAGGCATTTCAACAGGAATATCAACTCAGATCTCCCGAGTTCTAAGTCTCTACAATATCCCACAAGTATGCAAAGAATCCTGGTTTCATAGTTAAACATCATACAATAGTAATAAATGCTAACTAATTCAGTTACTGTTTATTGATGTACTTAAAAGTTTACTACTTAGTTATCATTTTAAGTCTACAGTGTAATTTATTCATAAGATGAATAATGCTTGTATGATAGATTTAATTTTAAAACCTTTAAATTTGAAAAAAATCTAGATACAAGTAATGACAATCTGTATTCTTTCCACTCCAAGAAAATTTCCTTTGTCTTATACCATTGTCAATACAGTCTTTCTTTCGTATGCAGTTTTAGTATCTTCACTGTAACTACTGTGAACATATTCCTGATTCCTTTACTGTGCTATGAGCTCAGATTGAGACATATCATTTATTTTTCCAAAGAACCATGGGTAATGCTCACTCTGGCTTTTGTTGGGAATGTTTATAATTTTTCTCTGTTGGCATGAATGTTTTAATATTTGTCTTTAAAATTCTTCCCGTTGATCAGTAATGATTTCTTATAAACAATCCTAGAGTAGTAGAATTTATAATTCAAATGCATCTTACTTAGTAATAAACTTGAGAAGGGCTCTTTAGAAATTAAGTTTGCAAATAACAGTTATCTGGTACTGTTTCTTGATATATTCATGAAGTAACTCAAAATCTTTGTAAAATGCATTATGCTACCGTTTTATTTTTAATTTTTACCTATTTGTTTACCTTTGAGACAGGTTCTCAACATGCAGTCATGAGTTTCCTATGTAGCTCAGGATAGCCTCACAGAAATTCTTCTGCCTTTGCTTGCCCACAGCAGGGATTAAAGGCATGTAACACAATGCGTGACCTGAAGTTTATTTTTATGGGGTTTTGTGAATCAATTTTATTTCTTATTTTAAATATTTGGTTTTGGTCATATGCTAATTATAACATTAATAATGATTACAATTATTTTTAAGAAGTGTGTATATAATCGTACTTGGCTCCTTTTTGTCACAGATCCTCCTACCTTCCTCTTACTGGTTTTCAGTCTCTCACATAACATCTCTCCATTCTGTTTTCCTGCCATGAGCTGCTTTGAATTGATTTTTGCACAGGGTAGAGAGACAACTCCACATTAATTTTTCTACATGTGGCTAGGTATTTAATTTACCTATCAATTTGTGGAAGCTATTGTCTTTTTTCCAAATCTGTTTGTGACTGTAGCCCTGTTAGTTTATTTATTGATCTTCTGTTTAGTTTGTCAAAAGGTTTATCTTCTGCCAATACCAGGCTACTATGTTACTATGGATCAGTAGTACAATTTGACATCTGGTTTTGTAAAACATGTACCAGTACCTTCTCTATTTAGGTTGGCTTTGTACAGTTGGAGTCTTTGTGTTTCCATATGAACTTTAGAATTGTCTTTGCTAGTTTTGTGAAAAGAGTCATAGGAAGATTGATGTGAATTATCCTTAATAATATATCATTTGGGCATAGTTTGTAATATTAATTTGGCCATTCTGTATGCATCCACGTTCATCCAATTTCTAACCTCCTCTTTAATACCTTTAAAGTCTTCCACATCTTTGTTTACACTTACTCCTAGTTGCTTTTTTTATTGTACATGGTAATACTCCCATTATTTCTATCTCTACAAATTCATTATTGATATATAGAAAACTACTAGGTTGGATATCAATATTGTGTTCTTTGCTTTGATGAAAGTGTATATAAAGTCAGGGAGTTTCATACTTAACTTTCCATGAAGAGCCCATGAGAAAACATTCGGACATAAACATATCATATGCAAACAGGAATAATTTGCCTTCTTCATACCCTATGTGGGTGTGTTTTTTACTGTATTGATTTTGCTAGGATTTCAAACTAAAATTGAACGGCAAAAGTGAATAAACTCTAGCCATTTGTTTGTAATTTTACTAGTAAATTTTGTATTTTTCATCTGGCATTTTATCCATGTCAGTATCCCTGTATTCAGTTGTTAAGGAATTATGATATTTGGGTTGTCACATTGTTTTGGGTGTTCATATTTCTTTGGTCTCTTTGTTTGAGTTGGAATTCTGCTGGCTTGGATGTTTCCTTTTGTTTTACTTGCATATATTATTACTTAGCCATGTTCTACTTTTATGTAAATACATTTTTGTTATTTTTAAAATTTAGAGGTTATGAATTTCATGATACAGTTTCTGGGAATTGAACTTTGCTCCTTAGAATGTTTCTTTTGTCATCATAGGATGCACGGGTTTCATCATGCCCGTTCACACTCACTTTGTTCTTACTGTCTGCATCCTGACATCACTCACGCTCTCCCATCTTGCTTCTCCATTCTTAACAAAACTCTTTTAGCTTTTAGTTCAGTGTTTTATTACCTTCCCTGCCTTAGGGTTTCTTCTACCATTCTAGTATTCCCCTTTCTACTTCTCTCTCCCTCTCCCTTTCACTCTCCCATTCTCCTTCCCTCCCTCCACCCCCTTTCTCTTTCTCTGTACATGTATTTCTGCCTATGCATTTCCGTGTATGTTTGTGTGTACATGCATGTGTGTGTCTGGTAAGAGAAATATATGGGAATGGTGTGTGTCAGGTGTGTGTTACAAGTAAATGTGTCCTGTGATTGTGCAGGTAGGTATTTCAGGACACCCACATGTGGAGACCAGAGAGTCTTCCTCCATCTCTATCTACACTGATGCCTTGAATCAGGGTCTTCCACTGAACCAGAAGCTTGAGATTCTGGGCTGACTAGTCTGCAAACTCTTAGGATTTATCTGTCTCTACTATGCTCTTTGGGGTACTAACTCATGCTAGCATCTCTGACTTGTTATAGAGATGCTGAAGCACTTCTGACTCACACTGCCTCCTAATAAACTTCATGACACACACACACACACACACACACATACACACATGTATGTATGTATATATATACATGTGTGTATGTGTGTATGTATGACATAAAATTTTAAGTTAGTGTATAAAGTGGATTTATCATGGCATCTTCATGCATGCATAGCACTATAATTTACTCTTCAGTCCCTCAAGCTTGGCCTATCAGACTCCACAGTTACAGACTGATTCTGAGGTCAGAGCCTAGTTAGCAAGACAGTGAACCTAAGTTATCCCTCCATAAACTGCCTGAGCAAAGCCTCTTCCTACAAAACTATTCAGTTTGTTGCCATTGTGAACTTCCATTTCCACACCTGCAATCTGAGGCAGCCTCATCCAGGCCTGTTCAGATGCCTGAAGACTCTGTGAGGTTTGACACTCCCCATTCTCAGCCCCTGTCACAGTAGGTCAGTGTTAGATGATCTGTTCTCTCCTGAGATGGCAGCCTGCCACAGCCCTCTCAGACATGGGAACTGACAAACTAAAGTTCTTGTATTTGGTCAGCCCATCTCCCTGGAGAAGCAGCTGTCTTCCTGAGAGCAACACGTGGATTGGAGACCTGAAAGAGCCCTGGGCTTGTCCTGTAAGCAGGACAAAAGATCTTTCTACCACAGACACTTGTCTTATCTTTTGGATGCATTTTTGTCACATTTCAAAAACATAACTTTTACATTTATAGTTTAAGAGTAGTTCATTTAGATTTTGGAATATTTTAAGTAAACACAGTTATTAACTTGTCTCATGGGCTTCATGAACCCATTATCAATGTTGAATAATTTAAAAAATTGTCTCATTTTGTATTATCTATTTAAATTGCTGAATTTGGACATTTACTAAATACTCAGTATTTCTTTATGTTACTGTTTCCTTCCTCAATTTATTCATGTTTATTTCATTTTCTGATTTCTTCTTTCTTATTCCTCCTCCTTATCTAATCTTCTCTTCCTGTCAATTAACATGTATTAAATATCTGTTTACAATTACCATAATTTTGGATTTAATAAGTGAAATGTTCAGTAAACATTCATATTCAGATGCCTGTTGTGAAGTCAGTGAATGCAGCCAGAGTGTGAGCTGTGGATTATGGCATGATCTAGTGGACATTTGACTTTAGGAGAAAATTTATGGAATTTGTGTAGAAAAGGGGATCAAGTCCCAACATGAGCCATGGGACACTGGGATATTCTGATACCACTTGTGTAGAGAAAGATAGAAGATTCAGTAAGGCAAACTGATAGTGTTGGCCAAACCTTGAAATACATTCCTTGATCAAAGGAAAAAATCCTGGAACTCATTCAGGAACACATCTTAAAGAAATGGATTGTTTTGTGCCAACAAGTACAGTGAATTTTAATAATTGGTCATTTAATTTGACAAATGATGGATCTAGTCCACTCCCAACCCCGGAAGAGATGCCCTAAGTACATAGGAATGAAAGTGAATAAATATAAATTGAAGTTTTGTGATAAGAGGGATAGAAATGTGATGGGGTAACCAGATTACTATTAAAGAGAAACTTTCCAACATTCATTGAGGTAGATATTCAGCCTTCTATCCTAAGCAAGCTTATATTGAGCATTACAGAAAGACAAAAACAAAGGAACTTCTAGGGAAATTTACACTTTACTCGTTCATTTTAAAATGCTTCTTAGGTTCTTCTTTATTGGATAATTAGTTAATGAATTTATGACTTCTTTAGTTTTAAAATTTCTCCCCTTCCATATCAGGAGGAGGAAATTTTTAGTAAGAGAAATGACAGATTTGCAAATGCTTTTGTTTGACTGGTAATGTCTTAACTGATAGAAAGAGATAGACACTCTGTGGCCCTGTTTGATACCTTTTAGGAAAGTGAAAAGATAAAGATACACTTTATGTAAGGACTAAAAAGTAAGTGATGGGACATAGATAACAAATTAGTATTTCTTAGCAAAGTTATTTAACTGTGTACTTTGTCCTAGTGCATTAAGAGAAGACATAAAGTCATTTGAGAATAAACCTAATTATAGTATCTTTAGTTGTAACTTTCTGTTTAGATCAGCTATGCTCCTTTTGACCAGAGTCTTGGGACCCAAGTCCAGCTCCAGTCTCCTTACCAGTTTCCTATGCACACCACAGCTCTGTATCAGGGAATTATTCAACTGCTGCTATACTTCTCTTGGGTCTGGGTTGGCCTGGTCATCTCAGATGATATGAGGGGAGAACTCTTCCTTAGGGACATCATAGAGGAGATGAAGAACCATGGACTTTGTCTTGCATTTGCAGAAAAGATTCCAGAAACTGCTGCTGTGGACACAGTACACGAGAAGCTTTTTTTCGAAAGATTCACATTGACATCTGTTATTGTTGCCTTTGGTGACACTTGTTCTCTTCTGTATTTTGTGGAAGACACCATTCAGTATCATACTTTTCATAATGTCTGGATCACAACTTCTGATTTGGATTTAACCATGTTTACTTTTTATCAAAATACAAATTTGTTCACTTTTGGAGGATTATCATTTTCTTTTCACATGGATGAAATTCTAGGATTCACAGATTTTCTCACTAGTGTCCAACCCAGAAAATACAGTCATAATATCTTTATTCAGGAGATGTGGTCGGTCTTATTTGGATGTCCATACATCTATAGGAATGGAGTCATGGAACCAAGTCGATGTGAGCAAAATGGCAGCCTGAGCACACGTCCTTTTCATGACTGGGATATGAATACCTCACCCTATAGCTACAAAGTCCATGCTGCTGTACACGCCATTGCTCAGGCACTCCATGAGGAGCTGTCACTAAGAGTGGAAGGAGAGTCACTTGATAAAAGTGTCTTCCAGGCTCCTCTCCCATGGAAGGTAGCAATAGCTGGTCTTGTGTTTTCTTACCGTGTTGGGATTGGATTGTAAATTCTCCATGTTGTTTCATGAACTTTCAGAGTTATTCTCAAGTTAAAGATAAAATTAAGGAAAAATATATTTGTGGTGCTTAAAGTTGAACTAACATTTTAGTCAGAAAACAATATGTGCATGATGCTGAAAAAATGGTTTTCCTATTCTTTATTTTCCTATTTTAACACATTCAAACAATAATATTCATGCCCTTTTATGTCACATTTTTTATTATTCTTTTATTCTTATGTGAAGAAACTATAGAATACAACTCAAATACCTTGTACAAGTATAAATACGGCATATTTTAAGGTGTTTTAGGCACATTTGATGCCAATAGTTTGTTTTATTTTGATAAGCAGATCCTAGAAAGAACACATAGCTCTGTAAGGCTAGACATTGCCATGACTATTTCACAGCATATGTGGCTTCATGAGTTTGAGGGAGCCTGGACTGTATAGACAGACCTTGTCTTTAAAACTAGATCCCAACACCAACTGAAACAAAAACAGTTTTCATTAATCAATGTGGATTGAATGGAGAGGCACTAATCACAACACATCAGCTTTCCATGTTTCCCCCTCTGCACCTGCTTAGCTTTGCAAACCAATTGAGTTTCTAACACTGTACCAGAGTTCCTCCCTCTACATTTTTATCAACACTTTTTTGTTTGATATTATTTAAAGTTCCTCATTGTTTGGTACTTTCAAACACATAATAATGAATGTTGTGTATTTTCTACCTCTGCCTTTTTGCATTCTGTATCCCTCCCTCCTCTGTCCTAGCCTTTCTCCCATCCAGCTCTCTCTCCCTCTCATGATCTCTTTCTGTAGGTGGGATCCTCTGTATTTAGTTAGAGATTCTAACCCAAGAGTGAATGGTTATTTCTGGACTAAAGACTAGTAATCCCTTTAGATCACATAAATCTTTATTGTGTGTTGAATTTTGACATCAGGCATCCTAATATATAGAATGTAATATAGCAGCTCATGGTGAGCTAAATTTACATTTCTCTGAGGCCTGTGATGTTAAACGTCTTTCCACACACTTTGTGAACACATGTCTCCCTGTCTTGAAAAAACAATCTAACAGAAACTTTTCCTTATTTTAACTTTTTGACCAAATAATTTCATTCATTACCTATAAACTTGGGATAATAACCATTCATTAGGTATCTTACTTGCAAATATCTTCTTGGATTTCATGGACTGTCGTTTCACACTGTTGGTTGTTTCTTTGCTGTGCAGATGCTCTTTCTTGGAAGGATAATTTATCTTAGCTTTCATTGACTGCTTTTGATATCATATTTGAAAATATCCTCATCAAGACCAATGATATCAAAGGACTTCCCTCTCCAATTTACCCTAGAAATTTTTATTCTGAGGTTTTGATCTGGTTTTACTTTATTTGGTGTATGAAACAGACAAAAATCCAATGGCAGTTTTTCACCCTATTTTCACAACAGCATTTGTAGAAGAGACTACACTTCACCCTTTGTGAGTTCTTGGTGTCTTATTGGTTTGGTTGTTTTCTGGACTTCTGTTCAGCTCCTCTGCAATGTGTGCATGTTATAGGCCATGCTTGTACTGCTGTAATTTTACAAAACTATTTGGAATGGGAAATGCAATGCTTTAATTTTGTTCTTCTTGTTCAAGTTTACAAAAGGCATGTGACTTCTTGTGGTTGCCTTCTCCTGTGGGGATTTATAGGCCTTGTCAATGTCTGAGAAAAAATGTCATTTAAATTTTCATAGAGACTGCCCTAATCTGTGAGACCATTGGTATAATTGACTATTTAAACAGTATCACCTCTTCTAATCCTTGATGCTGTGTCCTCTCTATGTCTTTTCAATCTCTGTCATCAGCATCTTACAGGTTTTGCCTAACGGATATTTTATATACTTGGTTATCTTTCTTTTCCTAACTAGCAAAATAATTAAGAATATTGTTTTATTATTTCTATTGGCATATAATTATTATACAATATATTGGATTTCATAAGTATAATTCCATTCAAGTGTATACAATACTCATTTGACTATGTTTCCCCTCAGTTCCTTCACTCCACTTTCTATTCCCTGCAGAGGTGTGTTGGTTTGAATGAGAAATATCCCTCACAGGCTCAGGATTTGAACAATAAGTTTTTGAGGCATTTGTCTAGGGAAATATGTATGATGTAGTTTTCCTGGAGTAAATACCTCAATTCAGAGGAGTTTTGACATTTACTTATCTTCATCTTACTTCACGGCTACCTTCTTGTGTTTCAGCTTTCTATGCTATCACAAGTGCCTGCTGCCATGCTCCCCACCAGGATAGACTCTGGTTCCCCTGGATCCATAGGCCCAAATAAACTCTTCCTTCTGTCAATTCCTTGGGTCATAGTGCTTTATCACAGCAACAGATCAGTAACTAATACATACTTGTGTTAGTCACACTTGATCCTCGACAAAGTTTTTCTTTAATCCCAAGTCTTCTGTTTTTATGTAAGTGTGTGTGTGTGTGTGTGTGTGTGTGTGTGTGTGTGTGACTCCATGGGAGAAAACTCATTTTCCCTTTCCCAGAAAGTATAAGTGACAGTACAGTTGTTAATTTTTAACTTAGTCACTAGGTTTTCATTCAGTTCATTCGTTCATTCATTCATTCATTCACTCATTCATTTACTTTTCTTAAATAAAACAAAAATTATTTCATAAAATGAAATAAAACTATCACATGGAAGTCACACAACAGAAAGAAGAGTGCCTCCTCTTCTATAGCATTCTCTGAGCTATAAGGGAGAGGTTATTATTTTATTATTTTCAAAAAATTTATTCTTCTTTCCTATAAAACATCCATCACTCTATTCCTCCTATTCACTTGCCCAACCCCACTCTCCCCTAGATCCCATGGTTCTTTGTTTTCCTTCTCTAAAATGGAATATTTCTCAGGGAAATATCAACATGGCATAAGAAGATACAGTGAGCTTAGGCACATACCCTAATATCAAGGCCCATGAGGCCACCCAGTAGTAGGAAAAGGGTACCCAAGGAAGCAAAATGTAAGAGTCAGATATGCACACTCTTCTATTGTTAGGAGTCCCAAACCGCATCAAGCTAAATAAGCATAGCATGTATGTAGATGAATTAGGGTAGATCTCTACAGGCTCTGTATTTGTCAATTCAGTCTCTGTGAGCCACTGTAAACCCTGCTTCCTTGATACTTTGGGATGTGTTCTCCTGGTGTCCTGGACTGGTCTGGCTCTTACAATCCTCCTTCCCCATCTCCCATGGGTTGCCCAGGCAATGCATATCATTTGGCTGTGAATCTCTGCATCTGTTCCCATCACTTGCTACATGAAGTCTCTGATATATCAGGTCTAGGCACTGCTCTATGACTATAGCAGAATAGCCTTACAAATCTGTTTCTGACTAGTTGCTGTTGTTGTCAGTGGTGTTCAATTTTCCCTTGGTGCTCTGAGCAACCCAGTGTCAGGTTCCTGGCCATCCAAGCAGTGTCTGCCATGTGATGCATCTCATGGCTTGAATCTCAAGTTAGATCAGTCATTGCCGGTTTACTCCCACAGATTTAGAGACACTGTTGTCCCAGCACATCTTGCAGTCAGGACAGGTTGTGGGTCCAAGGTTTTTTCCCTGGGTGGGTATCCAAGCTACACCACTGGGAGCCTTGCCAAGTTACACAAGATGGCCAGTTCAGGTTCCATATGCTCCATTACTAAGTTCTTACTAAAGTCATCCTCATAGGTCCAGGAAGCTCCACTCCACTAGGTTTTGACATTGCCTCTAAAAGCCCTATTATTCCATCATTCACTGTGTCTCTGTCCATAACTTCTCCTGCTATACATCCCTCCCCAAACTCTTTACTTCTTGTTCCCCTCTCTATCCACCCTCTAGTCAACCCACAAAATCTATTCTATTTTCCATTCCCAGGGAGATCTTTATGACCTGTACCCTCAACCCGCAGAATCTTCCTTGTCTCATAGCCTCTCTCTGGGTCTATCTGGGTCATGGATGTACCATGATTATCCTTTATTTTACAAAGAATAACAACATATAACTAACTAAATGCTATGTTTGTCTTTCTGGGTCTAGGTTGCAGCACTCTGGATCTTCTCTAATTCCTTCCATATGCCTGCAAATATCACAGTCTCATTTTTCTAACAGCTGAGTAGCAATCCATAGTTTAAGTGTATTTGCTGATCCATTTTTCAGTTAAGAAACATCTAGGTTTTATCCAATTTTTGGCCATTTTAAATAAATCCACTGTGAACATAGGTGAGCAGGTGTCTTTGTGGTAGGATGGAGTGTCATTTGGGTATAAACCCAAGAGTAGTGTAGCTGAGTCTTAAGGTAGATCGATTCCCAATTTTCTGAGGAACCAGCATATTCATTTCTCTAGTAGCTGTACCAGTTTGTGCTCCCTTTATCAATGCAGAAGTGTGCACCTTGGTTGATATCCTTGTCCTCATGAGCTTCTGTCTTTGATCTCATTAATTCTCAAGGTGGAAGACAGAATCCCAAAGTAGTTTTGTTTTGCATTTCCCTAATGGCTAAGGACATTGAATATTATTTTAAGATTCCTCTATTCAGAATTCTCTGTTTAGCTATGTACCTCACTTTTTCTTTAGATTGTTTGGTTACTTGTTGCCTAGTGTCTTCAGTTCTTTATATATTTTGGTTATTAACTCTCAGTCAGATGTAGAGTTGGTATAAACCATTTGTAATTATGTCGCATTCTGAACTTGTTCTTTGGCTTGCAGAAGCTTTTTGATTTCATGAACTCTCACTTATTCATTGCTGGTCTAAGTGCCTGCATTATCAGTGTTCTGTTTAGGAAATTGTCTTCTGTACCAATGTGTTTAAAGCTGTTTTCTACTTTAACTTCCTTTTCCAATGTGTCTGATCTTGTTTAATGTGATTGGTAATTGGCCTTGAGTTTTGTTCAGGGTGATAGATATAGATCTGTTTGCATTCTTCAACATGAAGATACTCAGTTTGAACAGCACCATTTGTTGAATATTCTTTCCTTTTACTTGGTATTTCAGTCTCCTTTATTAAATATATAATTGGTGTGCAGAGGTGTGTGGATTTATTTCTGGGTCTTCAATTCAATTTCATTGCTCAACATGTGTGTTTTTATATAAATACTTTGTGGCTTCTGTTATTATAGCACTGTTCTATAATGTAAAATTAAGAATAGTGATACCTCTTGAAGTTATTTTTCTATTGACTATGTTAATTCTACTGATCCATGAGTATGGGAGATCTTTCCATCTTCAGATATTTTCTGTTGTTTCTACAATCTAAGACTCAAAGTTTTATCACATAAATCTTTTACTTGATTTATTTGGCTATCCCTAAATATTGTATGTAATTTGTAGCTACTGTGAGGAGTTTTGTTTTCCTGATTTTTTTCTCAGATTGTTTGTCTTTTATATACAGGAAAACTACTTTTTTTTTTTTATCTTGAGTCCAACCACATCTATAAAAGTATTCATTTGTCATAAGAGTGCCCTGGTAGGGGTGCTTGTATATGTACTATCATGGAATCCACAAATAATGATATCTTGAATTTTTATTTTGTTTTTAATTTTATTTTACTTGAATTTTTATTTTATCATCCATTGATCTCCTACAGCTACCTTATTGCTGTACTGTCCATTTGGTTAAAAACATCTTTTACATCCAGTATTTGTTGAGTGTTTGTCTGAATGTGTGTGTGTGTATATTTGTTGTGTGTGTGTGTGTGTGTGTGCACATGTGTGTGTGTCCATGCATTTGTTTGTGTGTCTGTGTGTGTGTGTTTGTGTGCATGATTGTGTCATATAGCCCTACTGCTAGCAAAGATTAGCCCTATGACAAACGTTTGATATACAGAACAATAATGAAAGCCATAGGAACATACAGTTAGAGAAATACAGGTCACCAGGTTTATTTACATCTCAGTGAATTATAGTGCAATTCTGAATGTTATTTTTTCACTTTCAGCTCCATCCATTCTTACAAAAGGGACAACTTGGGAGAAGTACCAATGAAGGGAATGTTGAGAACAAGGAGGTGTCAGCAACCAAGCTTGACATCTTTAATTACCAGTCTCTGCAGAGCGGTACCGAAGCTCAAGTGAAGGTTGGCGAGTTTGTCTTTGAACCTCACAGTGTGCAGCATCTTTCCCTAAATGAAAAACTCATAAATTGGGGCAGATACCACAAGGGGGTGAGTATCTCTGAGGTCAGTACCATGAGCTGTTCTCAGAGTGGAATTTCTCAGAGAACAGGATTGTCAGAAGTCATCAGCTTTTGGCCTAAGAAGAGCAAAGAATGTTACTTGCCTAAAACCAAAAGCTTCTGGTCACAGAATAGTAAGAGAGAGTTAAATCACCAGAAGCCATCAGCCTCTGAGTCCCAGAAAAGTAAGTGAGAGTTAATGAGTCATTAGCCTTTGGTTTCATCCATCACTGGGTCCCAACTCAATACCTGACTGCTGGTGTGGAACCCCACCCAGTTACATCTTCCTTGTCTATTATGAGGGCTGGATATTTCCTATCTCTGACTCACTCTGTGAGATCTTTCTTTGATTCATCACTGTTTTTTTTTAGATGTTACTTTCAAACATGGTTCCTTCTACCAACTAATTTTGCCTTTGATTTTTGGTATTAAAGATTTGATGAGGGCTGAGCCATTCCACAACCAAATAAGCTATTTTCTGTAAATAATACAATCTATGAGTGCACAATATAATTAAATATTCTGTACACATATTTCTGGAATTGAATTTTAATTCCATATGCACATTCATCTGCTTATTGTTGGAACTGTTTACCCTGAAAATCTCAGTGTTGTGATTAAAAAGAGTTGATACATAGTAATGGGAAACATTATAGTCTCTGAGAGACCAAATAAGTTTTCTTCATGGAAAACACTGTGTATATCAACTACTTCACTCAGTTCTCCTGTTCAAGATTAGTATAGTAGAACAATAAGGGAATCAACAATACTTATACATATATATATATATATATATATATATATATATATATATATATACTTTTATTTGGTTACAGCTTAGTGGGTTTTGTTTTGCTTTGTTTTTCTTTTTGTGCTATTGTATTTTAATTTCTAGGTTTTAAGTGATTGTTGTTTTATTGGGATTTTGGTTTATTCTCTGAGAAAGATCATAAATTTGGGTGAGTAGGCAGTGGGCGAAGATCTGGACAGAGTTGGAGTAGGGAAAGGATAGGATCAAAGTATATTCAAATTTAAAAATTCTTTTAAATATAATAATACAGTATACAAAATATAACAAAATAGAAATAACAGCTGAATGAAATAAAAAACAAGTAAAAGAGAAACAGAGAGAGAGATCAAGAAAGAAAGAGACACTATGGTTTCACACTCTCTAAAAGCATGGTAGTTCTTAGTTGTTACAGTACACAGATGTTCTGCTGAACATCTAGATGTTTTGCTGCCATCTGGATGCTAATACTGAATGTCATGAATTGACTGCCTTCCCTCCTCTCATGTCCCCTATACAGACTCCTGTATCTGTTTGCAGTCAAAGTTGTCCACTTGGATTTAGGAAAGCACCTGTTGAAGGGAAACCATTCTGTTGTTTTGATTGCCTCCCATGTCCAGATGGAGAGATTGCAAATGAAACAGGTATTTATAAAATGATTCTGAATGTGGACATTTTTGGAAATGGTTCTGAATGTGGAAGTTTCTAGAAATGATTCTGAATGTCGAAATGATTCAAAATCGGGCAGAAGTAAGTAATAAAAAGTCTGAAGACACAGTTAGAGTTGATATATCTGACTCTTAATTACTTTAAAACAAATTCTTGCTTTGTGGAGGTTGCACAGGTTTTTATTCCCAGCACTCAGTAGGTGGATTTCTAATTTCAAGGCTAGCATGGTCTACAGTACGAGTTCCAGGACTGCATAGAGAATGCCTACCTTCAAAAACAAGCAAATATAGACACAGTCATTTTTGTTACTGTTGGTTGTTTATTGGTTGGTGAGTTGGCTTGTCCAGTTTGTTGGATTGTCAAATCTCTGGGCTCCTGTAATCCTCACGTTATTTCCCCCTGCATACCTTAAACTATGAACAATGGTCAAAGGTAAAATCCTGTATATGCCAAAAAGTTAACAGTCCCTGCAAACCCTAACAATAGGTAAAGTTAATAGTTTTGCTTTGGAATTACTTTGATTCTTGTGGGAGTTCTCATTATCCATTTCCTGGTAAGGTAAACTAGCAGAAGGTCACTGTACAGCTAAGCACTGAGAGATCCCAGAGGATGGGTGATGTGCAGGCTGTGAGTGATATTCGGACTGTGAGTGATGTGCAGAAATGCTCCTCCACTGTCCTCTGACTGTAGAGATGTCACATCTTCCTCAAATTGATTGTAATTGCAAAGCCTCCCCAGAGCACAGCAGCAGTGCTTACTACCAGTGTTTTGTGTCCTTATTTCACATCTAACATCTATTTCAAAGCAGGTATTTTGTAATGCCAATTTTATTCTCCTGCTGAAATCTGTACTTATCAATGACTGCTTAAAATAATGTCCTTTGTTTTGTTTGTTGATGAAGTCGTGGTAGTTTGCAAGCCCACTACTTCCTTAGTGCTGGGCTGGCAGATGAACACCACCAAGTCCTTGATCTTTCTTTTTTTTTTAAATTAACTTTGCATTGGTTCTTTGTGATTTTCACATTATACTTCCCAATCCATCTCATCTTCCTGTCCTCTTGTAGGTATCCTTCCCCTTGCAACCTTCCACAGCACTAACAGAAAAATGTATCATTTTAGAAACTATAATATGTCAGAGTGTGTTCCATGTCATACCCGTATGTCTATACTTCTTTGCTTGTCAATGTTCTTTGTTTATACTCTGGATTCTGCTACTCCATAGTTACTAGGGCTGCTCTTGGATACCCTGTTGTTAAATTTTAGATATTTTGGACTGGCCCCTCTATACATTCCAGCAGTTCATAGGGCAGTAGATGTTGGGGTGGACCAATTAAAAGGCCTTGAAAATAAAGACTTTACTGCCTTTATGCTCTTATGTCCAGTTGACAAACGACTCCTCAAACCAGGGCCAGATATACCCTGATGCTCAGGTGAAGTTCAGGGACTGTTCTCCTAAGTGCTGTAGCTGGGGAAAGACCTGGCCAGTTATCCCATTTTCACAATCCCAGAACAATCTTTTCTGCCTATGATAGATGACAAGGGACAAGAGTGGCTAGGAGAGAATCTCTCTTTGGTTAGCACCATCTACCAGTACATAAGAGGCAGGACAGGAAGTCCTACAATCATGTCCTTGGTGCTGGCTCAGGTGCAACCCCTACATCCAGGGCCAACTATCCTGTGCTGAAAAGGCAAGGTTCAGGACCTGGTATCTGAGTGCTGAGGCAGGTAAGGAGAATTGACAGCTCTTCTGCTCTGATGACCTTGGGGTCAGCACTACTACAAGTTGTAGGTCATAAGAGGTAAGGAAGAAGGCATCTATCCATCACCCATGTCAGTGCATGGCAGTTAAGTGGCTTGCCAACTCTGCCATGTTCATGCCCTTGGGGCTGGCTTACCTGTGCCCCAACCACCAGGGTCAGCTCAATTATACTAACCAACGGAGGTATAGGGCTCATTGTCCTGTGTGCTGCAGCTGGTGAAAGGATTATATCAGGATCATTCCTCATCTGGCTTTAATGATTGTCTGTGTTGAGTTCACTCCAACCTGGTGGCTTCAGGCCTAGAAAACTTCTAGTCTCTGGCTTGTTCTTTGTACTGGGAGTTATTTGGGTTTATGTAGCACTGGATTAGTGGTCATCTCAGGCTTTCTTTCTCCAGGGAGTGTTAGTCTACTAATCATTTAGATGTTCCTAGGTCAGAACACCGTGGGTAGACGTAACCTCTCTCCTCTCTGCCACCTACTGGTGTGCATGTGACACAGCAGCCACACCTGCAACCCTAAGAGCAGTCCTTACACTTTATACTTATCAACTACTAATGCACCCTTTGTTTACTTTTTAAAAAGTAGTACACTGACTTTAATAGATTAAAATTGAAGAAAGTATATCCACACTAATAATCTCTAGGATTAACATTTTTATAAAGTACCTTTAGCTTTACCTAATATGTTTGTGGAGTTCTTTCCCTCTTCTCCTCATCGCAGTACATTCTACGCCATCAACAGAAGCCTTAATGTTTACAAGTACATATGACTGAATCTCTTTTCGTTAACATTATCTTTGTACTTCAATACTTACATGTTTCATAATCTAAAACAATAACTTTTATGCTCTTTTAAATATACTGACTCTTACAAAATGAATTGCAAATATACTAGTTTGTATTTACTGAAAATCAGGAGATTAATAGGCTGATATCACCCTATTGTATTAAGTAATTCTAAGAAAATATTTCTATCCTCTTCATGCATTTAACATATTTTTCATGCAGGGAATTGAAAGTAAAGCCTTCAAATACACTAGGCACATGCTATAAATGCATCTCTCCATTCACAAATCATACCAGTGTCACCATGAAAATGTTTTATTACATGGACTAAATTTAATCAGAGCTCACCATACACCTTTGAAAATACATTCAGACTGGGTTATATGGCCCACTGGGTTTTCAATGGTTACTGAGACTTCATTATATGCTTCTTAGAACATTCAATCTAGCCATGCAGTTGTGGTGCATGCTTTTAATCCCAGCACTTGGGAGGCAGAGGCAGACAGATTTCTGAGTTCGAGGCCACTCTGGTCTACATAGTGAGTTCCAGGACAGCCAGGGCTACACAGAGAAACCCTGTTTCGAAAAACCAATAATAGCAATTATAATGATAATGGTAATAATAATATTCATCTATTTTCTTTTCTTTTACAAGCTTTATTTATTTATTTATTTAATGTGATGAGGGCATTAGATCTAATTACAGATGGTTTTGAGCTACCATGTGGTTGCTAGGAATTGAACTCGTGACCTCTGAAAGAGCAGCCAGTGATCTTAATCCCTGAGTAATCTCTCCAGCCCCTCAATCTATTTTCTTGTAGTGAGAGGACTTAGTTAACCAGAGCCAGAGTGACTCCATAACATGTTTCAAACTCATAATTTCGGATACTAGGCCAAAGTTTCTGTTTATCAGGCCTGGATGAGTACAAAATTGAACAATTTCAGGATTTTTTTTTTAAAACTACACCCTTAGGAGGCAGACAATCAGTAAGCTATCCTACTACCTAGCTTGTGCCCACTTCATAGACATCTAATCAGGAGCTGTAGATGCTGCCTGACCACCTAACTTGAGCCAAGTGTACTTGATCAGAAAAACTCCCCCTCATCCTTATGAACCACTCACAAAGTCACCTATATGTGTGAAGATGAAGGCAACCATTCAAAGGTAAAAGTCACCCATTTCTACTTTTACATCTTTAAACTGACCCTACAAAGTCCAGACTTGTATCTTCCATTCTGATGTATAGTACACCTCTACTTTCAGGTTTTCTGCAGAATAAATGTTCTTTACTGTTGCATACTATTTGAGTCTGGAGTATCATTCTTTACAAATCATAAACCCTTACATTTGGGGGCTCATTTACTGAATTCTGCTAACTCAAATAGTTGAGCTTTTTCTTTTCCAATTGGACAGTCTAGGTGTCTGGTTATCTATTGTCTTGTCTGTCCCCGCATTTCTGTTTTGGGTTTAATCTGGAGTCGGAGAAGGGCAAAGTAGATGAGTATTTTGTTAAGCATCAGGGACTGAGGAGTATGCTCACCAACATCCCTATAGGAAGAACTTGCTAGTTTCCGTCTAATTTCTGAATAATCTCTGTGTCTATGGGCTTTTCATGTATAGGACAGCAGACCATCTTAAACAGCTTGTGGTTTTTATGTTCCCAGTAATGTCATTCATGTCTCTCTGTGTGTATTCTGTTTGTGCATTTTATCTTCTTGTACAAGAACTTAAATTATTCCTAAGAAGAGACAAGTGCTGAGCACCCGACTGAGCTTTATCCTGAACCATTTTATAGAGCTGTGGAAGGCTCTGGTCTGTTTGATCATCCTGGCAAACTAATCATTGTGTGTAGAAATAAATGGCCCTCTTATAAAGAAGGGAGTCATGAGGAAGAAACTTTTAAAATGTAACTTTAATCTTCATTTCTAAGTTCTCTCTAAATAGTTCTCTAAAAGTTTTCTATGAAAGTTCTCTAAGAAAGTTCTTCTAAAAGGTTCTTCTCTCTAAAAAATTCTTCTTCAATTCTCTATGAAAAATGGGATTTCTTCTCTCTTTCGCCTCAGCAAATATACATCTTTCAGAATACATTACCACATGGTAAAAAGTTCACCACAAGTTTACACATAAATTCAAATCATAAATTGAATAAGGAGTTTACAACAGAGAGAAGTTGACATGCACATTAATTATTAGTATTTATCTAGCTAAATGTTCACCATGTTTCACTAGCTCTACATGTTCATTGAAAGTTAAAAACCGTAACTTTTGTGACAAAAGTATTAGTGAAGTTTCATGTAGGTAAACCCACTCATTATTTTGTCTTCTGTTTTTGGACCTATAGTAAATCAGTAGTTCCCTTTTTATGACCTTTGGTTAATTATTTTACAACCTCTTGGAATGTACTCTAAGTTCTAGATGCATGCCTATCTCAGAAGCATTTAACTTGGGACATTTGAAGTATGGCATAATTCTCATTGCAGTTTTGACATCAGAAAGGAACTAATACCAGTGTTCTAATAATTGCTAATATAATTTTTGGAATTCTTATAAGATCATCATTAAGAATTAAGAAATCCTCTATCTGATTACAGAGCATCACTACAAGAGGGTGTATCTTCTTTGTTCAGTGGAAACCTACTCAAAAGTGGACTAATACCTAGTGATTGTTATATATAATTAAAAATAACAGGTAAAGCATACTAATCTCAATAATCTTTCCTTGAATGTAATCTTATTGGCCTAGCCTAGAGAAACAAATCTGTTATTAAATTTATAGTCCGTGGTGGAACTCTTAGGATGATCACCAGCTAGTTTTTAGCTTCTCTTTGATGGTTAAACGTTACTGTCTATGAGGCCACTGGCCACAGATATTCAGATGGCAGTATTTGGTCAAAAAGACACCTGTTTGTTAAAACTATTTATGTCACTAACCGCACTGCTCTCAACACTCCTTCTTTTGCAGGAGAGTCTAACCTGCCCTCTCTACCTTGATCCTCCCTCAGCCCCTGAAGAAGGTTTCAGTCCTTCTCCTTATATCTCTGCTTCTGTCACCACTGCTCTTACTTAACCAGCACAGTCAGAGGGAGCAACAACACTTGACTCCTCTGACTCTCCTGACTCCACTTGTATTCTACCTTGCACATGGTCCTGTACTGCCCAGAGGACTGACTCTACTACAACCTTATCCCTCCAGACTGCAGAACCTCAAAATGTACAAAGGAGATAGTTCATAACATATATGCCCTTTGCTAGTAACAACATTTACAACTGAAAGTTGCAAACTTCCCCATTTTCATAGAAACACTCAGTACTCATACTTCTTTTAGATATAGTCATGTAACTCACTGGCCCATCATGGGAGATGAGTGTAAATAGGTTTTGGGAGCAAATAGACTGCTAACCCAAGCCTAGTCTGGTAATGATGTGGCCTTCCCCTAGTCTCAACCTAACTGATGGAGGTAAGGAGAATCTCTGGGTCTACTGTCAGATTTTGATGGTGTTGGGGAGGTCCCTGAGAAGCCACTAGATGGCTCATAAATTTTCTAAAGTAAGCCAGTTGATCCAGAGAAAAAATGGCTACCACAGAGATTATCTAAAAAGTCTTTTTGAAGCTGATATGAGGACAAAAGAAGACAGTACGGAAAACTAAACTGGACATGCCTTTTAAAACCATCTATGTGTATGTGCATGGAGAAGGTGGATAGCAAAAGAAGTGCTCACTTAAATGTTGGCATCATCAAAGAGACCAGTGGCTTATTTATTGAAGAAACAGGACATGGTGCCCTGAGAATGTCTAAACTGCTTCAGGATCATAGCTGCCTCTTCCCTGTTGCTCAAGGATGCTGACAAGATAACCATGAGACTGAAACTTGCTATCCCCACTCCTCATGCTATTGAGGGGATAACCCAGAATTCACATAACCAATGTCTGTCCAACCTTAAAGTGTTACAATGACATCCAGGTACCACCTGAGGACTGCAAACTGCTAAATGCTGAATTATTAAAAGTTGATGTTACCTAGTCCAATCAACATGGGAGTTCCTTGTCTTTCAGATAACTAGATGCTTCTTATACATGCCCCATTGCCCAATATTTGACTAGCATTTCAGCCTTCATGAGCCCCCAAGGAAACAATGAATGTCCTAATAACAGCAAAATTTAAATATTAAATAATGACATTCATTGGGCCACTTTATAGGCTGAGATGCTAAGTCAGAAAGGCCCCTATTTCTGGCATTGATTCATGATTTTTGGTTTCAATTGACCCCTTAGCTAATGACTAAGGCTTTGTGGGAAAGATGTGACACAGCAATTATTCGATTCAGTTATAAATAAGAGGTTGGAATGAGAGGGCACAGTGAGCCAGAGCCAGGCTGACTCCATAACGGGCTGGCAGTATTGGAGACTAGTTCCAAATTTCTGTTTTCCAGAACTGCAAACGTTTAAAACAAGTCAATTCCAGGAAAAATAAATCACCTTCATGGGCAGCCATCAGGAAGCCCCCATTACCTAGCTGGAGCCAATCTCATAAGCAGCCAATCAGAAGCTGTAGAAGCTGTTACCACAATCTAGCTTGAGCCAAATTAGCAAAAGTCACCAAAATCTCCCAGTATCTTAACCAATCACAAAGTTATCCATATCCCTGTAGATAGAGCTAACTAATCAAGGGAAAGGTAAAAAATCAGGCACTTCTACCCTAATGAGATTTAAATTGGCCCTGCTGAGTCCACACATCTATCTTCTATCCTGTAGTATGGTAGCCCGCTAAATGTAGGTCCTCTGAAATGTAAAGGCTCTTTGCTGTAGCATACTATTTGAGTCTGGGGTATCATTCTTTAGAAATAACAGACCCTTTTTCTTTTCCTTTCTTTCCTTTCCTTTCCTTTCCTTTCCTTTCCTTTCCTTTTCTTTTCTTTTCTTCTCATTTCTTTTGAGACAAGACATCAATATGAAATTATGATGGGCTGGGAGAGTTGCTTGCTGGTAATCCTCCTGTTTCTGTCCCTGAGTACTAGAGGTACAGGTGTCTATTACTGTGACTTGCTGTAATTATATTCATAATTAAAGGTGGGTCCCATGCAAGTGTCCTTGAAAGAGAATGAAATCTAAGCTTAGAGAATAAGACTTTCCATTCCACTGCATTTGTCTTAAATATTCAAAGGCTTACCTCCACCTGTATCTTTTTTAAAAAATGACAATATATGAAGAAATTTAAAAACTTTTCTGTAAAAGTACAGAAAACTCAAATAACATAAATGTAGTTAATAAATGTACATTGAACATTAAGTGCAAAATTATTTTTCCACAAATGAACTTCTAATCAGAATTTAATTAAGGATTTTAACAAATTCATTCAAACTAGAACTTTTTATTATAAGAAAAACAATTCACCTCTAAAATGTACTGCCTAAAGAATCATTTCTAAAACAATGATACATCATTTGGTAAAATCAAAATCAAAGAAACAAAAGAAAATGCCACAATGTAATGTAATAAACCAATCTGCCTCCCTTTCAGATATGAATCAATGCATCAAGTGTTCTGAAGATCAGTATCCAAACAAGCAGAGGAATCAGTGTCTCCCTAAAATTATGACATTTTTGTCCCATGAAGATACTCTAGGAGCTGTTTTGGTTTCTGTGGCCATTAGTTTATCTGCCTTTTCAGCTATGATTTTAGGATTATTTATCTGCTATCGGGACACACCCATTGTCAGAGCAAATAACAGAAATCTCAGTTATCTCCTCCTAGTTTCTCTAATGCTCTGTTTCTTTTCTTCACTAATATTCATTGGCCAACCTAGCACAGTCACCTGTGTCTTGAGACAAATGATTTTTGGGGTTGTATTTTCAGTTGCAGTTTCTGCTATCTTGGCAAAGACCTTCACTGTGGTTGTGGCCTTCCAAACCATCAAACCAGGAAGCACCTTACGAATGTGGATGGTGACCCGACTCTCAAATATTATAGTCTTCTGTGGTTCCATCATTCAAGTGTGCATCTGCGCAGTCTGGTTGGGAACATATCCCCCTTTCCCTGATGTTGACATGCAGTCAGAGTTTGGGCAAATCATCCTCTTGTGTAATGAGGGGTCCACCCTTGCTTTCTACTGTGTTCTGGGGTACTTGGGCTTTCTGGCCAGTCTCAGCTTGCTTATTGCTTTTCTGGCAAGAAGGCTACCTGACAGCTTCAACGAGGCAAAAACAATCACGTTCAGCATGCTGATTTTCTGCAGTGTGTGGATTTCTTTTGTGCCTGCTTACCTGAGCTCCAAAGGCAAAACCATGGTGGCCGTGGAAATTCTTTCAATTCTGGCCTCCAGTTCTACCTTACTAGGCTGTATATTTCTTCCCAAATGCTATGTGATCTTACTGAGGTCAGGCGGCTATTCTAGAAAGAATTTCTTTAAATGACTTCCTCTTTAAGACAAAGGAATTTATTGTGATTTGTGCAAAATGAACTATGTAGAAATAAAGATTCAGAAGAGTGGTGTGAATTCAGTGTATTTCTCTTGACAATGGCAACAGCTATTTAATCAAGTGTCCTTGCTCTCGTTGGAGATGACCAGACACATCAAACAAAGCCTCCACAGGTTAGATAGTTGCCAACTAGAGGTGACTTCTGGTGTGTCCACTAGATGTTTCTTTAAATCACAATTCTGTCATTTTTCAACAGAATGCAAGAGGACTGAAAATGATTAAAAGTAAGAATTAGAGAAAATCATTTGTGCGGCAATAAAAGTAATAGATGTTTTAAAATATGCTTCCTCTCTGTTAGTCATATGCAGTCATAGTCAGTACAAATTAATTTTAGAGAAACCATGTGTTCTGCTGAAAAGAGCTCATGGTCTCTGCTTCTCCCTTTGAAGGGGCCTCACAAACAAGACAATATGTGATATAAAGTTCAGGATCTCTGGAGGGTTTTGTGTTCTTTTCTATGTTCTGGTGGAACAGCATGAATGAGATCTTAGGCAGAGCACCAAAGGAAACACAGACATATTTACCTTGAGGATATCCAACACATCAGCGGGTAGAGGGTCTCTGAGAGAACAGCCAGATTCATGGAGTGCTTCCTGTTCTCTAGCAGACTTAGGAGTTTCACATTGTCTTCTACAGGTTCACTGAGCAAAAGCTGATAGCATTTGTATCCATTAGACTCTATTCTGAAGCAGGAAATGTTTTTGATTGTAGAAGTGAGAAAGAGAAGAGTTTTAAGGCCATAAATTCAACAGGATGTGGGGAATTGTGGAATCATTTATCCTAGATTGTGTGGCTTTTCAGGTATTTGTTTTTACCTAGCCAAGAAATCTCTTTCAACATGATGGTCAGATCATACTAAGGGCAAACTTAAGTTTAGCCTACAACAGTAGGAGGAGTCACTGCTCAGCCATGGTCAAAAACGTGCTCAGAGAGGACAACATGCCCAAAGTAGTTTGTTTATGTTCTGGAACAAGAGTTACATATATATGTCATCCATAGTTTTAAACTTGAGAGACTGTTTGCACACTACAATATTGCACCAATGTAAGACCACCCAAACAGTTAAGGTATTCTTAGGCTATTTGGAGTCTCAATTACTGTTAACTTTCTTTTTTTTTCTTTTTAAACACATTTAATTCTTTTATTTAATGTATATTTTATTTACATTTCATATGTTGTCCCCTTACCCCATCCCCCAACTACCCAGGCACCCCCCTATCCCCTCACCCCTCCTCCTTCTTCTCTGCAGATGTAACCCCTAACTACCCCCACAATCCCACCTCCCCACCCTCAAATACCCACCCCCCCCTGGGGCATCCAGCCTTCATGAGGTCAAGGATCTCTTCTTCCACCTATGCCCAGCAGGGCCCTCCGCTCTTACATATACAGCTGAAACTATGAATCCCTCCCTAAGTGCTCCCAGGCTGGTGGTTTAGACCCTGAGAGCTGTGGTTGGTTGGTATCGTTGCTCTCCTCATGGGGCCACGAACCCTTTCAGCTCCAATGGTCTTCACTCTAACTTCTCCATTGGGAACCCCATTATCAGATCAATGGCTAGTAGTGAGTATCTGCCTCTGAATATGTCAAACTCTTGCAGACCTCTGAGGAGACATCTATATCAGGCTCTTCTCAGCATATACTTCCTGACTTCCATATCGGCATCTACCTTTGGTGACTGCACATGGGATGGATACTCAGGTGGAATGGTCTTCAGACAGCCCCTCCTTCAGTTTCTGTCCCTCGCTTTGTCTCCATATTTGCTCCCTTGAGTATTTTGTTGCTCCTTCTAAGAAGGACCGAATCACCCCCACTTGATTTTCCTTCTTCATGAGCTTTATGTGGCCTGTGAGTTGAATCTTGGGCATTTCAAGCTTCTGGGCTAATATCCAATAATCAGTGAGTGAATACCATGTGTGTTCTTTTGTGATTGGCTTACCTCACTCAGGATGATAATTTCTAGTTCCATCCATTTACCTAGGAAACTCTCGAATTCGTTGTTTTTAATAGCTGAATAATACTCCATTGTATAAATATACCACATTTTTGAATCCATTCCTCAGTTGAAGGACATCTGAGTTCTTTCCAGCTCCTGGCTATTATAAATAAGACTGCTATGAACATAGTTGAGCATATGTCCTTGTTATATGTTCGAGCATCTTCTGGGTATATGCCTAGGAGTGGTATAGCTGGATCGTCAGGTAATGCTATGTCCAATTTTCTGAGGAACCGCCAGACTGATTTCCAAAGTGGTTACACCATCTTGCAGTCCCACCAACAATGGAGGAGTGTTCCTCTTTCTCCACACCCTCGCCAGCATCTACTATCACCTGAGTTTTTAATCTTAGCCATTCTAACTGGTGTGAGATGGAATCTCAGGGTTGTTTTGATTTGCATTTCCCTGATGACTAAGGATACTGAACATTTCTTTAGATGCTTCTCGGCCATTCGAGTTTCCTCAGTTGAAAATTCTTTGTTAAGCTCTATACCCCATTTTTTAATAGGGTTATTTGGTTGTCTGGAGTCTAATTTCTTGAGTTCTTTGTATATATTGGATATTAGCCCTCTATCAGATGTAGGATTGGTAAAGATCTTTTCCCAATTTGTTGGTTGTCGTTTTGTCCTATTGACAGTGTCCTTTGCCTTACAGAAACTTTGCAATTTTATGAAGTCCCATTTGTCAATTCTTGATCTTAGAGCATATGCCATTGGTGTTCTGTTCAGGAACTTTTCCCCTGTGCCCAAGTATTCAAGGCTCTTCCCCACCTTCTCTTCTATTAGTTTCAGTGTATCTGGTTTTATGTGGAGGTCCTTTATCCACTTAGACTTGAGCTTTGTACAAGGAGATAAGAATGGATCAATTTTCATTCTTCTACATGTTGTCCTCCAGTTGAGCCAGCACCATTTGTTGAAAATGCTGTCCTTTTTCCACTGGACAGTTTTAGCTCCTTTGTCAAAGGTCAAGTGACCATAGGTGTGTGGGTTCATTTCTGGGTCTTCAATTCTATTCCACTGATCTTCCTGCCTATCTCTGTACCAATACCATGCAGTTTTTATCACTATTGCTCTGTAGTACAGCTTGAGGTCAGGGATGGTGATTCCTCCAGAAGTTCTTTTATTGTTGAGAATAGTTTTCGCTATCCTGGGTTTTTTGTTATTCCATATGAATTTGAGAATTTCCTTTTCTAACTCTGAAGAATTGAGTTGGGATTTTAATGGGGATTGCATTGAATCTGTAGATTGCTTTTGGCAAGATGGCCATTTTTATTATATTAATCCTGCCAATCCATGAGCATGGGAGATTTTTCCATCTTCTGAGATCTTCTTCAATTTCTTTCTTCAGGGACTTGAAGTTCTTGTCATACAGGTCTTTCACTTGCTTGGTTAGATTCACACCAAGGTATTTTATATTATTTGCAACTATTGTGAAGGGTGTCATTTCCCTAATTTCTTTTTCAGTCTGTTTATCTTTCATGTAGAGGAAGGCTACTGATTTGTTTGAGTTGATTTTATAACCAGCCACTTTGCTGAAGTTGTTTATCAGGTTTAGGAGTTCTCTGGTGGAAGTTTGGGGGTCACTTAAGTATACTATCATATCATCTGCAAATAGCGATATTTTGACTTCTTCCTTTCCTATTTGTATCCCTTTGACATCTTTTTGCTGTCTAATTGCTCTGGCTAAGACTTCCAGTACTATATTGAATAGGTAGGGGGAGAGTGGGCAACCTTGTCTAGTCCCTGATCTTAGTGGGATTGCTTCAAGTTTCTCTCCATTTAGCTTGATGTTGGCTACTGGTTTGCTGTAAATTGCTTTTACTATGTTTAGGTAGGGGCCTTGAATTCCTGATCTTTCCAAGACTTTTATCATGAAGGGATGTTGAATTTTGTCAAATGCTTTCTCAGCATCTAGTGAGATGATCATGTGGTTTTTTTCTTTAAGTTTGTTTATATAGTGGATTACATTGATGGATTTCCGAATACTGAACCATCCCTGCATTCCTGGGATAAAACCTACTTGATCATGATGGATGATTGTTTTGATGTGGTCTTGGATTCGGTTTGCTAGAATTTTATTGAGTATTTTTGCATCGATGTTCATAAGGGAGATTGGTCTGAAGTTCTCTTTCTTTGTCGGGTCCTTGTGGGGTTTGGGTATGAGTGTAATTGTAGCTTCATAGAACGAATTGGGTAGTGTTCCTTCTGTCTCTATTTTGTGGAATAGTTTGAAGAGAATTGGTATTAGGTCTTCCTTGAATGTCTGATAGAATTCAGCACTAAAACCATCTGGTCCTGGGCTTTTTTTAGTGGGGAGGCTTTTGATGACTGCTGCTATTTCCTGAGGGGTTATGGGACTATTTAGATGGTTTATCTGCTCCTGGTTTAACTTCGGTACCTGGTATCTGTCTAGGAAGTTGCATTTATTTAAATTTATACAGTATTGGAGTGAGTTTCTTCTATTTGGCCATCAAAACAGTTGAGAAAATTCCGTTATAATCTGCTATGTTATGGGAAGAATAGTATTTGTCCAAAATGTATTACTTGGTAGGCAAAGAAACACTTATATCAAAAGTGTCTGAAACTATATAGCCATGGGGTCTTATTACTTTAAAGACACTCCACTCTGTAAAGCTCCTAGGCAATTTGACACCATGAGTATAAAGAAATCCTTGTTTTCTAGAGCCAGTTTCTCTCTTTAAGCCATGTATAATTATGTTGCAAGCCAAGCACAGTGTGGAGAGAGACATAGAATGCTTCATGGGCAGGTCCATGTGGATGGTAGGAATCTCACATCTTTGTTGGGACTTATCCAAATATTAAGTAACTGTTCATCAAATATATGTTGCTAATTCATATTCAGACATTCAAGTGTGTTGTAAATAGGCAGACTGTGGCAATCACTACGTGCTTAATAGAGACTATCCTTTATCCAGTAACCT